TTAGTCGTAGGGCAGGGACACTTGCCACCAGAAATCGTAGCCTCTGAGGGAGAAAATCAAATTTCCAGCGGAATTTTCATTACTGACAGGTATTTTCTTTATTTTTTTTTACAATTGATAAGATAATACATTACGTGTACGCGGAATACATTTTATTAGATACATATTTTTCGCTTCTGCAGGTCAATTATGCAAGGTAAAAAAGAAAGTCTAACTCTTTTGTACTATCCGCCGGAAGAACAAGATCAAGAAGCCGTTATTCTATTCGAATTGGGACCATCTACTAATGCCTGCCCTCAAGGATTATGTATGTATAACATTAATGTGAATATTCTAACTTCAAAATCGGTTTGCATTGTACACTTTCTTTTTTTTTCTCTAGTTGTAGTTCATATGACATGCAATAATAATAAACCTATATTTCTTATTTTTTCGTCGATATTACATAAAAAATTGTTCGTCATTTTTTAATGTCCCACAATGCAAATTACAGTCAACATTAAAACATGTAAAGACACATAGGAAGTTATCCGTAATTTTAAACACTTAATGTTTTACATAGTCATTACTATATATATAATAATTATTTCTTTAATAAGGACTCATGCTAAATTAAATTGAATTATAATAGTGACTATAATTCCATTTAATTTACCTACATCACGATTTAAAAAATTTATATTTAATAATTGTATTTCTCTTATAAATACAATTATAAGATATAAACTATTAATATACATATATATGAACTATTGATATACATATTTATGTACATTATCTTAAAATTATCTTAAAATTATCTTAAAATTATGAGAAATATCTTTTTAAACAAAATTAAGGGGATATTTTAATTTGAAAGGTAGTAAAAAAAAGATATTTTTGTACTTAAGAAAAACCTATTCTTAAAAATCTATTCTTAAAATATGGCTAAAAGAACATGCAAAGCTTAGCGTTATTCGCTTTTTACTTTAATTATATTCTACATTTTGCAAAATTTAGTCTCCGCCTCAGTAACAATTTTAAAAATTTCCATTTTAATGCGCTTTTGTTCTTTTTTCGGTAAACTTAATGTAGAATGGCACATACTACGAAAAAATAATTCAATACTGTCCGGCCGCGGCGTAACGGTGTGGACGGGCAGTGGTGAGTCGTGTCCTACGTTCGAGGGAAGTTCCACAACGTTTATTGTTTCAGAGTTGGGCACAGGCTTTATTCTAGGACGACTGCCAACTTTTGTCGCAGCCGCCTCACCCAATACCGGTTTTCTTTTACGTTGCACATTATAGTCACTTTTCATGCCCTTCGCCAAGCACTTCTGAAGTCTACAATACTGACAATGATTTATGCGGTGTTTGGTAATTTTACAATTTTTGCTTCCTCGACACTGGTAGCCCAGCTGCTTGCGCATGCTGCGCATAAAAAAGAGCCTGCAACCCTCGCAGGTGATCGCCCCGTAGTGCCTACCATTGGCTTTATTCTCACAAACTGCACATAGTTCCAAGGGCAGCTCTAAGCCTAATGAGCCGCGAACGTCCTTTGCTGACTTCACCTCAACGTTGACATTTTTTTGTTCGGGTTCTATCACCTTGATTGTGTATGTTTCATCCATTTTTTGATTATCGAAAATTGAAATTCCTTAAAATCTCCTGACTTATTCCTTATTTCTGCGACAAAGAATATTATACCATAAAATATATACTTGTCTAATCTTGAATCAATAATTATTACTACTCAAGGAAAATCTACAGTTATCAGGCAATGAAGCCTAATGTAAAAATCTAATTAAGTTTTAAATACTATTATTGTCGTGACATATCTGCGTAAACTATATATTATACATAAAATAGTCATACCAAATAAAAGTTCTTATTCCTAAAATGAGTCTATCCAAAGTTTCGTTGAGACCTTCAGTGGTATAAAATTCACAATGAGAATGTCACTTTTGTGTTGGACAAATTTGGAAGTGTGTCCTTGGAGGGGGAGGATTTTGAATGTCAACAATGTATAGTTCTTAAGATGACTTATAACCGACGAAGACAACGTTCAACAAAACTTCTCATCGACGCTCTTACCAAGAGTCGAATAACAACGACACAAGTGGAATCATATTCGACTTACGAAGAGTTTTGAGTGGTATTTGTGGTGCAACGTCATCATCCATCCTTCATCACATCACATCGATTACAATCGTCATACTCACCAAACGATATTTTAGGCAAGAAAGCGAGTATTGTGAAAACGCGTGAAAATTTCGGCAAGTTTATTGAATATTAAATAAATAAATATAAATATTAAATTTATTTATTTAATAAATTTATTCTTTAATAAATTTGTATAATAATTTGACAAAGGCTAGTAATCACAAGGCTTCTAGTGAAGAGAAAGAGAAGAAAGAAGAAAAAAATCAGAAATTGCTTTCTAAATTTCCTAACATTCGTATGTACACTTTCACTATGATAGAGCCGGAAATTTACGAGAAAAATGTAATTCGTTTGTCTATGTATTTCTCGTTATTTTATTCTAGGAATAGGCATCAACATATACAGGACATTTGGCAAACGCGTGTTCAATTTCGAGAGTCTCTAACACAGAATTACGTATATATTACGCGATTTTTAATAAAAAATTATATACTACATATATACATATTATAATATGTACGTACGATTGATAACTTAATTTGAGATAAATTTGACAATTTAATTTCAAGAACGAAGTGGCACGATGCTCTCCCGTTTCGTAATACATTATATGTTTGCTTCATTGTCATTACTGATATTTCGTTAATGTGAGATCGGCGTTATCGACCCGATCGGCGGATCCTGCCACTTAAATTCTTCTTGATAGGTGACGTAGGCTACCCAGTAGCAGACGTTGAGTAGACCGAAAGACGCGGGGAAGACTATCCGCGCCACCCTGTCGATGTAAGACACGCTGTTTATGTGCCTCCTCGACATACGATCGCCGCATTTTCGATAGTTGCTAGCCGCTTCTCGTTGCCGGCGACGCCTGGCAATTTTAGATATTAATTATTACACATCTCTTTTATGTAGCTATATTATTAATAAAAAAGTAATATAATAAATGAAATAAATAAGAATATTACGTTAAAACATGTACAAGATATTTTATAATTAAAATAAATTGAAGTAAAAAAAGAGGCTTGCAAAGAATCAAACTCATAAATTAAACAATAAGTTAAAGGGCCATGAAGCTTATTAAATTAATAACGCAAATACATTCAGGTCTTCATCATAAATTAGTCGTTAAATTGTATAAAAGATAAAAAAAGATTTTTCTTTGAAATTATCCTCAGCGTTATTTGCTGTTAGATATTACGGATTAGTACAATTAAAATGTGACGCTTGTTCACACGGAGCAATTCATCAATACTGCAGCGCGTGGGAGCGCGTGGGTATGTTACTGATATTGTTGAATGTAATGGTCATATGTCTAAAGACTATAAAGAGTAAACAAAAAGGTATGATAAAAATAACTACATAAATAAAACAAGTATCGAATGTGCATCAACTGCAAGTCAACTTTACAAATGAGCAAAGTGACTCTTAGTCAGAGACATAACATTGGAACGTGTAATCAAAACTAATTTTGCACCTTATATGCATTAATATGCATCAATATGATGTTATCGACAAAGATCACGTTGGGGTGACTTACACCGACGAAAGGTTTAAAATGACTTAACAAATACAAATAAAAATAAACATATTTTATAATTCATGATTTTTTAATTTTTGCGACAATTTTGCTAGTTTATTTATAAATAATAGAAATAACGCGTAATAATAAAAAAAAATTATAATAGCTATATTAATTAATCTCTTAAATTTTATTAGTCTAATTAAATTAGTCTTTGGCACAATAGAAATCGAATAGGAGATGCCGCAGTGATATCACGTTACTTTATGTTTTTTTATTAACGGGTACGTAATGTACCTGAAAGCATCATCTCCTGCTAAGCAATAAAGAAACTGTCGCCATATCGGTAAAATAAGTTCAGTTTGCGTCTGTCTCTCCATGGTCGACGGTTTTGAAGAATCGGCGACCGTGATGGAATGGCAGGAATCTCTTTCGTATGTGACGCCGTCCTGCCGGAAGTAAAACTTGAATTAACAACTGATATTTCACATGCAATTGATATTAAATTCTAGGAAAAGAACTTGTCGAGAATTCAGAAGAAAATTAAATATTTTAAACCGGACTCCGAAGATCGAATACTTTAATAGATTTACAGGATTAATTTTCCTGCACTTCAATTATTCGTAAATTATATAATTTTCTGTGAATTACGGAAAATTAATTTACAAATTTTTACAGAAAGGCCAGAATACAGAAAATATAAATATCTGTGTGAAAAGGGCGTTTTACATTTTTAAAAATCTCCTGAACTTCTAAGACATGTCTTTGATATTGTTTGGGTGACTTTGTTAACAGTTTTTATTAAAATATCAAGCTAACACTGTATAGTGCGGACATGAGGGAACCACGCTTTCTAGTATTCGTATCGATAATCTCCGGATGAACAGCCTGAGGGCTGCAAGAGATCATAGTGCGAAATGTATCCTCGAACTCCTCGCTCGCGATGCCCTTCCATTCTTCCCATTCTTCGTCGTCCAACGGAATCTCGCCGCTACCAACCTGAAAATTAATCAAAATTAGATTGATATTGACTCAAATTTTATCTTTTTTTTATGAATATTTATTGTAATTAAAGATGCAACAATACTTTTGAATATTGTTTGAATAATCTTTTGTGCAAATGTAGTAATTTTTTTACATACATATGTAAACATGAAACTACGTTTTCTAGCATTCACTTACATCGAAAATACATGATGCAAAGATAAAATAACACTAATTTAATTAAAGATCCTGGAAGATCGCAATCGTTTTCCTAAAATACTTTACTATGTTATAAATTCTCTTATATCTTCTTTTAAGATACAAGGAAGCAACTGAACGGATAAGAAAATATCGCGATTACGCAGAATTATCACCTTCGTGAAGTAATGAACACCCGCGAACTCCAAGAGGGTGGCGATGCAGTAACCGAAACTCATCAATAGAAACCAATCCAGAGCGGTAGCGTATCTAACTTTCGGCAAATCCGTTCTGGAATCGAGGCTTATCGTCGATAGCGTCAAGACGGTGGTGATACCTGTAAAATTTATGACACAGGGTTATCCGCAGGGTCGGGTTTTCCATTTAGACGCCTCAGACACACAGGGCTAGAGCTCGTAAGATTTTCAAGGTTCATAAATGAAAGAAAAATGATAAACAAGTGTAAAATTTTCTTTACGACAAATGATAAATTGTACGAGCGACAAATCATGAAAATGTCAAGAAAAACGACAGAAAGAGATATCTTAAAAATTGATTGTACCTAAACCCACTCGATCGCTTGTCGCCTCGCGATGGATCCAAAAGGATACCCAACTTAGCACGACTATCAAAACGCACGGCACATAAACCTGCCGATGTAAAAAAATTTTTTTATTACGTCGCATCTCGAAGAAAGATAAATTGTTTATCATCTGCGATGAACGCTACGATTTACGCGCGCTTACTTGTATGAGAAAGTATCCGGTGTGGCGTTGCAAGTTGAAAGATACTTGCAATATCGAGAACTCTCCCTCGCGACGAATAAACGTGAGATTTCTGTACGGCGAGCCCATTAAATCGAATTGCGACAGCGTCATTCCAGGCTCGAAGTTTACCGACCTACCTTCCTGCCATTCGTAAACCAGCTGTCCCGATGTGTAAGCATCTGACAATTAGAGAGACGTAACAGCATAATATAGAACAAAATCATCTTTCAAGATATATTAATCTGACAAAATACTGGAAGCATTTGAGAGAGATGCCGAAAACTCTCGTGTCTATTTCAATGATATATATAAATCGTAGAAATATCATTAAATTATATTTAATTACATTATTACGCTATTATAAATTAGATATGTAATAAGCGAACAAATAAATAATTAAATAATTAATTTTCCAAATACATTCCTCTCTTTCCATATATTTATTCTTTGATTGCCAATCCTAAACATTTGAGAATTCGTCAATTAAGAGTATGTCATACTAAAGATGCATCTACTTCGCAAGGATATCCCATTATAAATTCTATGAATATCCGTTAAAGACAATTAAGTAATTAATTAATTATTCTAAGTCTGTTTCCTCTATTTGTCATATTTATTCCTCGATTATTAATCCTAAACATTTGAAAATTCGTCAACGTACACATTCGCCGAATGTATCCTTATGGCATGTCTCACTTGAATATTTCTGTAGCCACGCGAATACCAATGACTAATCTAACTAATCTTATGCAATCTTAAATCACGCATCCCGATTCGAGAAGAGTACCATCACTAGCGCGCCTATAATAATAAATTTCGATATTACGCCGCACCATGGATCATGATGCCAGATGTTATAACGGAAGGTAGAACCATCAGGCACCGTAAAGGAATATCGAATTTATTGCAATCGTAACTTCGACGTGGACGATCGCGAACACTCGCCGAAGGATAATATTGGTGAATGTTATGCACGTGAGGAACAGTATAATGCGGCGTGCGAGGGCATACAAATGAAGTATTATTTGTCCCGGTTTCCTTACATTTCTGTCAGCTTGAATCTCAATTGATACGCCAAGCACAGAAACCATGTATTTCCAAATGATTTGTAGACTTCGATATAAGAGCGAAAAAGGGCCGCGATTTGCTAAACTAAACAAAAATAACACGGGGTACAGATTTCATATCATATCGTGAAAAGTGCGTTTCTGCGCACGAACCAATAAGTGCAATATAAAACAAAAGACTAAAAATAAAAATTATATAATATTTTGTTTCAATTTTGTTTTGATTAAAATTATATAGAATATAATTTTGTCTGGTATCTTTAAGTTTATAATTTAAAATTTCTTCGCATTTTTTTCACTTTGAAAATTAATTTTTTAATATAGTAGGCATTCATCTTTTCAAGGTGCGGCTTTACTATGCGGTTAAAAAATCGATACATACAGCTTCCCATTATTAACGGGCAAGATTGTCGATCCATAGGGAAGTTTCTCAGCTCCATGGGACATTTGGCCTTAATAGTGAGCCTGCATTACGAGACAATAAAAAAGAATTATGACTAAAAATTACTTATGATACTAAAATATTTATTACAATTCTGTTACTTAGTTTTCTATTATCTTTTTATATTATAAGTAAAATTGTGTGTGTACGTGATATTTAAATCTAATGTACATCTAAGGCCTAGTTCCACAAATGTCGGTTAACTTTTAACCTTAGATTAACTCACTCTTCGTCTCTTTCTGACGTCCCTCTTTAGAAAGAGACGAAGAGTGACTTGATTTAAGGTTAAAAGTTAACCGACATTTGTAAAACTGGGCCTAACTCTATCATTCAATTTTATATTATATAATCTACTATGAGTACTTTGAGAACAACAAAGGTAAAATGTTATAATTTCGTATAATATTTTGCAATAGAATGTATTATCAAGTACAGAATTGAACTTCTCTATATTTGTCGATCGTGTATTTCTTTTTTTCGCGAAAATAAAAATTATAGAAATATAATTTTTATTTCCGAGAAAAAAATATACACGTCGACGATGACGTGTATAAAAAGAAGTTCGAAAATATCTCGTATAGGTATCGAAGAAATCGAATTCGATTTGCTACACAGTACGTAAATTTATACGCGAACAAACCTCATGGAATACAATATATCGCCGTCCTGGGAGATCCTTAGCAATTTGTTCGGCACAGTGATCGTGTGCACGTAACTATGCTTGCCGTTGTAGAAGTAGGTATCGGGACGCCAGATCCTTTCGAGCATCTTGATGCTGAGACTGAGAGACTTGATCGGGCCCAGAAAGCTTAGACGCGAGTCACGCCACGATTGCCGGAAATAACAGTCCATCGAGTAATCCTGTAGAAGAATTTTTAAGACTGCATCAAACAGATTTCAAACAGATTCGAAAGTAAAACATGAATTCATCGAGGATGTGTACTATCAAGCAACAGTACACGTGCACCAGTAAACAGGCGATTAGAGATTATCGTTACATGGTTCAGTTTTGATCTTAAATAAATATATTATATATTTTAAGTATTGCATTAGGCTTAAATTTACGAGTTATTTAACATCAACTTTGCATTGAAGATATGATAAACATGAAATTAATAATGAAAAAAGAATGTTAAAACGATGAGATCAGCTAGCAATTATTGTTCCTGCAGTAAATGATTGATTCGTGTTACAATAATTAAAAATTAGTATACTTAAAGTAGCTTGTATGACTCCGTAAAAATAAAAATAAAGAAAGGTAGAAAAAGGGGTAGAGATTTACTGGTGCACCTTCCTCTCTGAGAAGTTTCGAATCTCACCATATCAAGCTCAGATACTGGACCCATACTTCTAATTAAAATATTGGTTTTGACCACTGTGGGCACGCCTGAAAAAAATTCGGAATAAATATATCTCCGTGATTTATGAAATGTCAATATCAGCGAAGAGTTTGAAATATATAGCTCTTTAAAGAGAAAATAGGAATAAGAAATAATATCAAAATGGCGGCGATTATAGGCGACCATCAGATTTGTTATTCGTGTAATTAATTAATTAGGATATGCGCTTTGAACATATATTTAATTTTTTAATTCAATTTGAATATTGCAACAAACATGTTATTAATTCGACATTGTAGTCTGGAGCTAATTATCGATAATTAAAGCGGTTAGGCCACCGTGTACGATCTTCCTCGGCTCTTCAGAATCTAATTATATCCGTTATTATTTTCCGCTGTGTGATGCTGCGATTAGCGCAGGTATAGGGACATAAATGCATGATGAAATAGTTTCAGTATTGTAGAGTGACCGCAGCGCAATTTAGCTTGTATTCATAAAATTAATATCGATATTAAATGCATATGCGTTACGCTTATTTGCGTTCTCTCTAAATCCGAATCAGGGAATAGTAATCTGAATCAGTGACTATTCACTGATTCCTCGACTGATTCAGATTTAAAGAGCTTACATACCTCGTTGTATCCAGCGATCTAATGTCATTTATAAAAATTAATCCTTATCGAATTAATCATTAAATAAAATTTTCTGTGTGTAACCTTTTAAATCTAAATTAAAAATACAACTGACTGTAAGTGTACGTATAATGAATTTCGGGAAAGCGTATCTAATGTCAAAGAAAACAGTAAAAATACCATTGTAAATGCAAAGAAGAAATTCTGCTTATTGTCCAGCACGAAGAGAATACATATAAGTTTACGGAAAAAGCAAACGATCTGTACCAGAGTGATACGCTGTCATCTACTTATTTATGTTTTATGACTTCTGAATAGTAGAAACTCTCATTGAATCGTAATTTGTGAAAAGCATTCCACTCTACTAACTCTTGTTTTTCTTACCTTTACCGTGCGTGGGCAGCTGATTGTTTTCGTAATTCATTAATAGATTCTCGAGGACCATGGTGATGTTCTTCGAGACAATATCGTTCATCGTAGCTCTGGGCATCTTGCTGCTGATCGTCAACGATTTGGACGACAACGTCGCGAGGCTCGATGCCGCTTTGGTTTCGAAAGCATAATAATGGTACTCGTACACAGTGAGTGGCACAAGAATGACGAAACTACGCATATAATACAGAAGCATAAGTTCATTACTCCACCGGCGATGAATTCCGTGCAATATTCTGTTTACGTAGAGAATTAGATGCAAGACAAATCTCTTGCAAAATCGGAAATTCGTATTTTCTTACGAAAATTTAATCTAACTTCGCGGTCTGAAAGTAAACGGTTTATTGCGGAATATTTGCGTTCTTGAATATCTTGCTAATTAATAATAAAATTACTCACACACACAGTTTGATAACTCTGGAATTTCTAACAAACGGAGCGGATTATTGCTGAGCTATTTAATGCAGCAGGACTAGTAGGAGTAAGAGGTTTTGGCGACAACAGTATGGCAATCACTGACTTGAAACACCATGCAAATTATTAGCCAACTCAATGTAAACTGCACGTAACTGCACGTAATTTGATCTTAAGTAAAATCGTCAAATTAAAAGTTAAAACACCATTTTGTTGCTACTTTTAACATAATTGAAGCCATAACCATATTGTGATAACTTAAAGTCGACAAATTAAAATACGGTAATTTAAATAGATAAATAGATGAGAAAGATTGTAACGCGTGATAAAAAATTGTAAATATAAGACATAATATATCTTATACTTGGGTGTCAATGTCTATCAAATTATATTCAATATCATGAATAGATCCTAAATGTCGATAATTGAAATTCATTAAGTATTTAACGAACATAAGTGCACTTTACGGATGGGATTGTGAATGGGATTGTTCACCGTAGAGGTTCCATTTGGTTTTAAAGTTGATATTCTGTCCTACCGAGAGAAACGCATTTCAATCCGTATCGATCACTCGCATTTTAAGCCTAAAGAGAACCAGTTAATACCGCCAATAGATCCCGAGTTTCCAATTTTTATAACGCTTTCGTTGCAACGGGAACAATCGCTTTGCATAATTGACTATGCGTGCGGTATTCTTTAATAACAAATTTAGTCAATTTAATTTAATAGCCTAATTTTTCAAATGCTATCTAATGACGTATTTATTTTTACTCGTATTTTTTTATTAATTGGATCTGATAATATATATTAGTTTCAGATTATATTTTAATTAAAAAGAGAAATATTATGTATCTAATCGCGCAGAGTATATACGCTCTATATTTATATATATCGCCATTTTAATTAAAATGTTTAGAAACATTTTGCACTGTTACGTCAAGCGAAAATCGATGGCGTGTTTCAAAAAGGTGCGCGCGGTATTCGAGGCTTTTCTCCTCGAGCGGCGTAACGTGACATAATAATGACGTTAACGTTACAAAGATGCTACAAGGAGTTATCTAGGGCACGCTACGTTCTCTCTCAGCTCTTATGCCCACATTCCCTATCGCCCTTCAACGTAGCCACCGCGAAATAGCATCGTCCGCGTGCCAGAACTTTGTTCTGGCGCGGGGATCGGGACTATCCGCTACCGATAAACCGCGGCTCGCGATACACGCGTGAAGACATTCGCTCGCTAATCGTAAGTGCAAACGGCATCTTGTTGCTCTCGCGATATCCTCCGAAATCTTTTGCAAATTGTACGGGATTTATAAATTCATATGTCCTATAGTTTTATAACGATAAATGCATAGCATTTGTGTCGGAAACTACGAGATCCTGAATATACATTTGTCAACGAGGCGTATTTTAAATCCGTAATTTTAAATTCAAATTTTAATTCCAAATTTTAAATCCACATCTGGAGGAGACAGGTGCATATGATACGTACATACGTTTCACATTCAATGACTTCTCGGAGTTGTTATCTAAATGTTACATCAACCCTCCCTCCGCATTAGTTTCAATTTTTGCCTCGAAGCTCGGAGCACCGTAACGTATATAATAAAGTCGCAAACGAGATAAACGACGAGCATTGTTTGGAGTTCGGTTTAAGGCATAAAGGCGAGGCCGGGTATCGAGGCGGGAAGGAAAAAATAGACGAGAGTGCCTCTTGTCACTCGCCGATTCAGCAGCCGTGGTCCACGAGGGTTCGCTTCACCTGTTTCGAGAGAACATTACGCCCCGTTACGTCACAATCTCACGAGATCGTATGCGCATTTTGCATCCGATTTTCGAGCCGTTTGAGATGGTCTTCGAGTGGGCCGTATGAAGTTTCGAGTGATGAAGCGAGCCGCGTTTATACGTAAAACGCAACATCGGCATTGTTACATCGTGCAAAATAACATAGCACTTTTAACGGAAAGAAATATCAATATAATAAAATAATAATATTAGAAATAAAATAATCATTACTCTCAAGTAATTACCAAAGAGATGAATGAAACTTCATTTCTATTTCAATCTACAGTGATTATTAGAGAATAATCGCAATGTAAAATGAAAAATTCGTAAGACTATTCCTGTAAACAACTCAATAATTGTGAAATTTACAAAATTTAGTAATAATTAATTAATAAATTTTTGTATTTTAAAGTAAGACGAAAAACGTGACAATTTACCAAAAATAAATTTCCGCTATTGCCTGTCTTGTAATTTTATAAAACGTACCCTAAACGGCGAAATTTCTCTCTTTTTAATAATGCGTTGATGCGTAAACTTTACTTGCGAATAACTTTAATTGCGCTTTTTCACTGTCATCGCTTGCGATGCGAATCGGAACAATTGCTTTCACCAGCGAATTTGCCTAGAAATTTCAATGGGATCAATTTATCCAAAATATATTTCGCACTTTATTTGAAGTTTGTCAATTTTGTGCCTTATTAGTTTACGAAATTAAATATAATTATGGTTACGTTTAGCAGAACGTTTATTTTGCAACTGTTGGAAGTTTTCTGAGCTCAGATTGGATTATTTCTCTAGATCTAAAAGAATAATCCAATCTGAGCTCAGAAAACTTCCAACAGTTGTAAAATAAACGTTCTGCTAAACGCAGTCAATCGTTATGACAATCAATGATAATTGATCAATTTTCTTCTTATGTCAGATCTCTTTTTTTT